GTATTAATTCAGAGACATGGAGGCCGTTTGCCTTTCATTGTTTGTTATCAGTGGCTACGCTGGGTGTGGAACCAGGGTTTTTTTGGCTGGAGGAGGAGGTTCCCTGCTTCTGTGGTGCTGGAGATGGAACCCAGAGGTGCCCCCATGCTAGGCAAATGATTTGCTATTGAGCTGCACCCCCAGGCCCTGGAGCTTTCATCATCGAGGGGCGGGGGAGAGATCTCTTTAGGAAAAAAGAATCAAAACCTAAGTCACTCAGGGGCTTTGAAAGAGATCTCCTCCTTGGCTTTGAGGTGTGGCTTCTCAGGTATCCTGACTGGTTCTGGGACCTGGCATCCTGTCCTGTGCCAGCCCTGTCTGGGTTGAGCTGTGCCCTGTCAAAGCCTTGCTGAGCTTTCCGGCTGGCATGAGAGGTCTGCCCTGCCAGCTGTGTGGAGTCTGTGGCTACTTTTTATGGTTGGGGTCCTGGGCCCTGCAAGGACAAGGAACTGCCCCAAGGGAACACCCAAGATGATACCAAAGGGCCCTGCCCGTTTGCTGTCCCGCAACTCCCTTGTCCCCCTCAGAGTGACCTCAGCAAGGGGAGATGACTTGTTCTCACGCACAGCATCTCTTGAGTCTGAGCAGGAGCTTGTGGGATGGGGACGGTAGGATGGGTGACCCCAGCACACTACGGAGTCCCAGTTTACTCTCGCCTGGAGGGACTGGACACGGGGAACTCCCATGTCCTTCTTGGCCTGGGTGCACCTTAGTTTGCTTGGTTGGGAAGGTTTTTCAGATTTTCCTGTTGCAGCTGGGAGATGAGTGCTTCTCTCCCCTAACGACCACCTGGGGGACAGCAGCTGGTGCCTGCTGTCCTTAAGGTAGGAGGTGTCCCTGGGAGCCAGTGGCCCTGAGCTTAGAGACACTTGGCCACCCCGCGGTCCTGTGGAAAATGTTCCTTTTCCCTTCACACATTCTCACGTTCCTCACTTTCTTTCCTGGGGCTCCCACAGCACCCCTCAGTCTCCAGGCAATGTGTAGTTTGCCTTCCCAGCAAAACCCTTGGCATTGACCTCTCTCTGCTTCAAAACTTCGCCCTCCCCACGTCCCCTGAGGCCCTCTCCAGCTGTCACAGACCCTGCCAGCTTGCAGAACAGCGTGGCAGCTGCTCGGTGCCTGGCTCCGGGTGGTAAGGGACATTTCCTCCACACATCCCTTCCTGCTCTCTCTGCCCGACCTCAAATTGGCACAGGAGCTAGAAAGCCTTCGGGTTATTTTGTTTGGTTCAGTCTTCTAATTCTAGTGCAATACATCAACGGACCATTTGCAAGAGCAAATGAGGCGGCCCCTGGGGTTGGGAGGCTGGGGTGGAAGTCATGGGTTCCAGGCTGGCTTCATCCTCTCCTAAGCCGCAAGATCCGGGCCAAGCCGTTATGACTTTAAGTCTTGGTCTAGAAAGTGCAGACAGACAGACCCTAATAGTCACCCCCAGAGCCAGCCTCCTCCCCAGGGGTGCTGGCTGCCAGTAGCTGAAGCAGTCACTGAAGAAGCCAAGCGGGTCTGTAAACTGTAGGGTGCTTTCCACATGGAGCTGACGGAGCACAAGGCCCTGAATCTGTAGGGAGGGATGTGGGTGTGCGGTGCTGGGCAGGTGTGCATGGCATGAGGGCACTGTCCAACCTGTGTGGGAGGGGTGACAGTAAGGGAGGGCACAGGAAGATAAACATCTCTTCCCAGCAATTGCATTTGGGGCCACGCCTCATCAGACTCGGTTTTGACCAAAGCCAAGGAGCCCCGGTGGATTAACAAGTTCCAGGGGCAACCAGGAGCCCAACTTTGTCAAAGGTGCCCATTGAGTCCGTCGCTGAGTCATTGCTGGTGCGCGATCCAAGGCGCCAGGCTTGGCAGCCGCCCTGGGCAACAACCGCTCCTCTCCACCATGGTGGCGGCGGCAGCCGTGGCCAGGCGCTGCGCTGGCAAAGCTGGACGCCACCCAGGCGGCTGAGGCCACATGTCCCCGTGCCCAGCTTTCCCGCTGGCTTTCATACAGCATTTTAATACTCAGTCCCTTTTCCTGTGGGCAATAACATCAACTGTGCTGTGCAGCCAGGTTACCATGTTAGGCAAACTTGATCGGCATTTAATATGAGCTCTTACAGAGCACGCTGGTTGCATATGAAATCCTTAGACATGACAGATTAAATCTAAGGAAAAGGATACGTCGTGGGTCCCTGTGCTTTTCTGCTGCGTTCTTACTCCTTCATCTGCTTAATTTTTGGACAGAAAAAGGATATCTTGGTAAGCAATTGAATATTGGTGATATAGTACAACTAAATCTGTTTTGAAAATTGAATCAATCTTTCCATGAAATAAAACTTTAGAGTTGGGCGAGGTGGCGCACATCTGTAATCCCAGCACTCAGGAGGCTGAAGCAGGAGGTTCGCCTCGAGTTTGAGGCCAACCTGGGCTACAATGTGAGTTGAAGGCCAGCCTGAACCGTATCGTAAAACTCTAGCTAAAAAAAGACTAAAAAATTAAAAAAGAAGGAAAAGAAAAGAAATAAAACTTAGTCTTAAAAACCTTTGGACTCTTTGGCTTTATGAAGGTTTTTTTTTTTTTGTTTTTTGTTTTTTTTTTTTAACCAGGGATTGAACTCATGACTGCACACTTGCAAGGCAGGCTCTTATACCACGGAGCTAAATCCTCAGCATCTGAAGGTATTTGAGGGTGTCTTGTAGTCAGTGGCAATATTTGAATTATGCGTTGTGCATTTTTGATATGCTTAATATGTAACAAATTTTAATTTTAATCCTGACAATAATAGGCATGTTCCTATAATGTTTCTGTACATACTCCATTGATCAACTGTGGAAGCAGCCTATTAAAATTCATCCATAGAATACTGAATATTTTCCTTTTATTCTGTGAAGTCTAAATTTTATCCAACGCATACAAAACAAACTTTTCTGGCTTTTTAAAAATACCCTGAAGTGGGGGCTGGAGATTTAGCTCAGCGGCATAAATGCCTGCCTTGTAAGCAGGGAGTCCTGAGTTCAATTCCCAGTACCGATAAAAAGGAAAAAGACAAAAAAAAAAAAAAAAAAAAAATACCCTGAAGAATAATGACGTGTTTCTTTCCTGGCATATAAGATACATGTAAGGGGATAACCCAATTTTAAGTTATCTAATTTATTACTAAGCCTGTTCACTTTCTGACATTTAGTATAAATGATTATATTCCACAAAAGCTTTTGACCAAAAGTTATACCTAATGTAGTTATAATATTAACATAGTAGGTGGAATCAGGGTTGACAGTTTTTAACTCACTTTATAGCTGAGAGGTTTGCATTATATCCTGTGAAAATGTCAAAGAACATTTTTGGGGACAAGGGAATAGTCCCTACTGAGCAGTTCTACATGTAGTCGGATATGTAAATCGGCTAGTTGGGTTGAATGAGGACTCTGAAACTAACATTAATTTACAAGAAGTAGGGGCTGGGGATTTAGCTCAGCGGCATAAGCGCCTGCCTTGCAAGCAGGCGGTCCTGAGTTTGATCCCTGGTACCGATAAAAAAAAAAAAGAGAGAGGTAATTTACAAGAAGTGTAAACTATAGGAAATCAGCAGTTATGTTAGGAAGGAATGAAGCCATCAGTCTGTGAAGATATAATGGGGAATATCCGTACGTAGACAGAGCAGGGAACATTCTCTATAAAACATGCTGATTTCTGGTTTTTGACATGCACATTCTGCTTCACCGTTTTTACCCGTTTCTGTTGAATTTTTGAAGTATAAGAGATTATGCATAACGTACAATGAACTCTCTACCTTAATAATACACAATAAATGATTCTTACTAAAATTGATCTGTAAAGTCATCCCGGAAGAAAAACGTTATTGTTGCATTGCTGTGGCTTCTTTGTTCCTGGGGTGGGGGTACCGGGTCACACCAGGCTGTGGTGGTATCACGCAGCCCCCAGGCCAGTGGGACCCACACTGGCCCCAGGCACCACCACACTTTACTTGGTTTCATGCCCTGCCCCTTACCCGAATCCTCCAGGTTTCTATCTGTAAGTGGGAGGCTCCGGTTGCTTTCAGTTAGTTAGTTCTTAGCAATGTAACCCTCTTTTTGCCATTTTTAACAGCATTCAAATAAAAGAGCACCATGGAACTGACCGTTGACTTCTCCTGAATGCCTCTTTAACCCTATTGAGTTTCATTGTCTTATTTTCCTTGTTATATTTTTAAAATATGGGAACCACTGGGCACTCGCCTAGTTTATGTTTTGTCATCTCTTTGAAGATGTCCAAGGCAGGGCTGAGGATACAGCTCAGCAGCACAGCATCTGCCTGGCAAGTGTGAGGATGTGAGTTTGATCTCCAAGTACAAAAAAAAAAAAAAAAATTGTCCAAGGAAGAAGGGGCCATGGCAGTTCACACCTGTGACCCCAGCACTCTGGGCGGCTGAGGCAGGAGGAATGCAGTTTTGACTCAGCCCAACCAATTTAGAAACTTAGCAAGTCCCTATCTCAAAATTTAAAAATTTTAAAAGGGGGCTGGAAGACTACAGAGCTGGGGATATAACTTAGGGTTGAAGGAAGAAAGAAAAAGTTCGCTGGGCCGAGATTTCAGGGCCTTCACTTAGAGCGAGAAATTGCAAGTGTCTTTTGGAAAAATGAGAAGGGATTTTGATGCACTTTGGGTTCCAGTAATTGCTCAGCCCCCCCCCCCCCTTCCCCAGCTGGTTAGTGCCAGCATGGGCCCGTGTTTGGTTTTGAGGAGGGGAAACTGAGGCTGTGACACGTGTACGTGGGGCTGTCTGTCATCTGGTGGCCTCACTGGGCACACATGGCCGTGGACGGTGCAGATCTTTGGGGGCTGCCTTTCCATGGCGTTGAGTCGGAAGGGGGGCGGGCGGCCTGGACCCCATGGTGGGTGGGTGGGGGGAGGGACTTGCGAAGCTCCGGAACCTGCGGCGCTGACCAGGCGCTGACCGACCCGGGTCTCTTCTCTCCCCAGAACTGCCTGAGCCAGCAGCAGCTTCTCACAGCCGTGCGCCAGCTGCAGCAGCTGCTCAAGGCGCAGGAGGCGCGCTTCGCCGAGGCCATGCGCAGCGCCCGAAGCCGCCTGGCCGCGCTGCAGAGCTCGATGGGCCGCCTGGCGCCCGCCGCCCCTCCAGGTGGGTCCCGGCCGCTGTGGGTCCCCTCCTCGACCGCTGAGGCCATGGAAGCCACGCAAGCACTTCCCTGCCTTCTCCCCGACGTAATCTGCGCCCTGGGGTACCCGGGGCCACCCTAACTTGCCTTTCCCCGGACCACAGTGGGACTCTGCTTTCGCTTTTGTTTCTCTTTTTGTTTTTAATTTAGCAAGCTGTATCTCAAAGCGATTTTAAATTTACAGCAGACCTGAGCAAGGCGCAGGGAGCTTCCATGCACAGGCCACACACGCGTGCACAGGCGTGCCACACATGCATTCCATGACCCCTTCCTGTACCAGCGGAAGCCGAGCCAGCATGGCTGCAGCTGTCCAGGCGAGAAGCTGCACCCCTCAGCACCTCCTCCCCGGCAGGGCCATGGGGGAAGTAGGGAGATCACCCAGGAGGAGCCCTAATTGTCTGGGGAGGTGGCAGAAGGCACCCCAGACTCTGGGCACCCAGGCTTTCTCCTGGTCACAGGCGAGTGCTGGGGCCCTAAGGGAACCCCCCTTGTTCCAAGCCCCAACCGTCTCCAGCTCCCCATTCAGGTGTGTATCACAGGCGTGTTGTCTGCGGTGGGACCGAAGCTTCCTGGGGAAGGCGTGGGTTCACTGCCCTGTTCCACGTGATGGTAGCAAACCCAGAGTTTCCGGTGGCCTCTATTTTCCTTGGCCCCACTGGGTCAGAACTAGGCCTGTGAATCAAACCTCACCTTTTCCGTGGACCTCCAAGAACTCCAACACCAAACCAGAAAGCAGGCAGGGCGTCCTGCTTGCCGGCTACAAACAGGGAAACTGAGGCCAGGAGAATGGTGTGTGGCCGCAGGGGCCCAGCTGCTTATTTATCCCGCCTTTTCCCGGCTTTCTTGGATGGCAAAGATGGCCTGTGGTCGGAGAGTCTCAGTGTAGCGGCCACATGGAATCGTGTAGCAAAGAGCCCTGCTCATCCAGGCATTGTGACACTGTCTGCAAATCCCTAATCCCAGCACTCAGGCAGGAGGATCCCAAGTCTGAGTTCAGCCTGGGCAATTTACTTAGTCTGTTTCAAAAGAAAGAATTTAAAAAGGAGCAGTTGGAGAATGTAGCTCAACGTGAAGTACCTGGATTCAATCTCCAAAAAGGGGTGGTGGCTGCCCATGGGAATGGCCCTTTCTATCTTTCATCCGGGGACTTGGGGATTTTCTGCCCTGAGCCATGCTGGATTTTAGAAAGTGGCAAATTCTTTTAAAAATTATCACCTTGTGTTATGCCTCCCTCATAATATGTGTTGGGTGCTGCGCTGAGTACTTTGCTGCAGAGGAGGCTGAGCCTGTGACAATGCTGTAGAGTGACAGCCACCAACAGGGCCCTGCCCCAGGGTGGGGTTGGGTGGCTGCACCTGGGCCTGGGGAAGCAGGACGCTCATTGGGCTCTGATGGCTGACGGTGTGGAAATGACCTTGTTTGCTTACTTTTCTCCTATTTCCCTCCTTTCTCTCCTTTCCTTTTCTTATTTTTTCTTTTCTTTCCTCCCTTCCTCTCTTTCACAGCATTCTCAGAATATGAACAATTTCATATCCAGAATTCTTGGTCTTCCTCTTTCTGGCTTCCATATCAGGATCCGCCTTATTTTTCCCTCCTTTCTTTACAACATCAGCTTCCAGTCCATCCGGGGCATCTTCATTGACCACTCAGGAAGCTGCATGGAATGAATCAATCAGCTCTCCCTCTGTGGGTCACCATCTGTGACACCCACCACTGAAGGGAGGAAAGGTCTGACTTGGTGCAGGTTCCAGGAGGTTCCATGCATGGCCGGGGGGTTTTAAGGGAGGAGCCTCCGGGTGGAAAAGCTGGTGGAGCACAGCTGCTTAGTCCACGGTGGCCAGGAAACAGCAGCACTGCAGAGAGGAAGGGGCAGGGACAGCCCTAGTTCCCAAGGCCAGGCTCGCATGAGTCACCCAGCTGACCCTGGAGTGTGCTGTACCAACCTGCCGGGTGTTTCTTAATCCTAAGGAGTCAACATATCAGCACGGATACAGAGTCATCAGGAGCTCATGTGGCTGTAAGGGTTCACCAGGTCGTGCTCCTCTGAGCAGGGGCCCTCAGTTCTGTTTTGGGGACACGATTGCAAAGTCTTTTTCTTTTTTCTTTTTTTTTCTTTTTTTTTTTTTTTTTTTTTTTTTTTTTGTCTTTTTCCTTTTTATCAGTACCAGGGATCGAACTCATGACTGCCTGCTTATAAGGCAGGCGCTTATGCGGCTAAGCTAAATCCCCAGCCCTGCAAAGTCATTTTCAATTCTTTACCTCCAGTCACTCATTCTGCTCACTTATACCGAGCACCTGGTTTGATGCCTGCAGGTTGTTTGTGTGTGTGCACATGTGTGTGAGAGAACGGTTTTTAAAGATTTCTCATCACCAAAGAGACCCTACACATTTCCCCCCAAAACATTTCAAACCCTTTTTAACACAGTAACATAGTAGTTTTCAAAGACTATTTTTTAAACTACAATTTTTTTTTATTATTTTTTTACTGCTAGTCTTTAAAAACTACTAGTTTTTTTTAAAAAACTACTTGTCAGGGCCTGGTAACATATGCCTGTTACCCCAACACTTAGGAGGCTGAAGCAGGAAGATCACCGCAAGTCAGGGCTACATAGTGAGCTCAAGGCCCAGCCTGCACTGCAGAATGAGGCCATGTCTCAAAAAAACAAAAACAAAAACCCCTACTTGTTCAAGAATCATGTGCAGAGCACTCACTGTGGCTGGCACTTGGCTGGTGCTGACCGCGTGGCAGAGACATAGCCAGGCTGCCCTCAGAGGACCTACATACACAAGCACAGGGACCACAGAGTCACCAAGGACATGCAAGTGGCTGCAAACTGAGGAGAAAGTAGAGCGTGCGGTGGGAGCGGTGCTGGGAGGGCTCAACAGGACATTGTGTCAGGGTGCCCTGGGAGGAGGTGGCATCCCCCTGGAGACCTGAAGGGCAAGAAGCTGGGGGAGGGGAGACAGCACTGCAGGCAGGGAAGAGCAGGTGCCCGGTCCAGAGGGGACAGAGCCCAGCCTGCCCAGGAAACGGAAGGAAACAGGTGTGGTCCCGTGATCCCCGAGGGCACCGGACACCACTACAGGGCAGACTGGGCCTCTGTGCTCAACACAGCAGGTCCCACAGCAAGGCTCCTACTCCTCCTCTTTCCTCGCAGCCTCCTGCCCGCCTCTCAGCGCCCCTCTGGATGGCAGAAAGTTTGGAAGCAAATACTTAGTGGACCACGAGGTCCATTTCACCTGCAACCCAGGCTTCCGGCTGGTCGGGCCCAGCAGCGTCGTGTGTCTCCCCAATGGCACCTGGACAGCAGAGCAGCCCCGCTGCCGAGGTATCGTGCTCCTCCTGCCACCCAGGGCACCCCAAAGGGCTGTGTGGTAAGGGTGCCTGACTCCAGTCACCCTCAACTACAAAACGGGGTCAGCATTGCTGACCGCTCACCTGCATGCTGCAGGAGTTTGCTAAACCCTCACCATGACCTAGGATTGCTTTGCGTATAGAGAAACTGAGTTACAGAGAGGTTAGGAAACTTGTGTAAGTCACACAGCTGGGAGTGGTGGGTGCATGTTCTGAATCCATGGTCTTCATTCTGCCTGGACGCTGGTGACTGGAGCCTGTCAGTGTGAGGACAAGAGGTCGCCTGTGGTTAGGGGTAGGGGTGAGGGAAATGCTCCTGGGTCATGGCCAGTGTGCCAGTGAGCCTGCTGGTGTCCTCAGCACAAAGAGGACTTTGCCTTTTGCTGGTGTTTTGTTTTGTTATTGTTTTCGGTACTAGGAATTGAACTCAGGACCTTGCACTTGCCAGGCAGGTGCTTTCCCACAGAGCTAAATCTCTGGCCCAAGTTTTTTTGAGTTTTTGTGTGTGTGTCTGTGTGTGTATGTACTAGGGTCCTGCTGTGTCCAATGCTGGGCTCATGCACGCTCCTGTGTCAGCCTCCCAGGTAGCTGGGACTACAAGTGCTCAGTACTGTGCACAGCCAGGGTGACGTTGCTTAAATAACCTGAAAACACAGGGGAAGATCCTTGTCTGACTGAGTGATGGCAGGCAGATGCGGGCGCGGACTGCACCAGGCAGAGGGATTCAGGCTTCCCCTTCCAGTCTGCTGGGAGGAACCAGGCTCCAAGGCGAGGCCAAGGGCCCACAGCAATCCGAGCTGCTTGCTCTGGGCAGGGCATACAGATCACACACAGCGTCTGATATCTACTCCAGCCCTGAGAAATCCTATTCCAGCCAAACACCCCAGGAGCGATTAGCAGTGGCAGGCAAGGGGCCACGCGGGGACGTCTGATTCTCACTGCATCTGGCATCTGCACTTTTAAAAAGCTGATGGCATCAGTGACCCAGCTGGTGTTTTTCCAGTCCCTCTGCCGAAGGCCACCAGCCCCACCCAGCCCCAGCGGGTGTGCAGGTGGAAACCCGCTTTACTCACGTGCAACTTGTTCATCCTTGTTCAAATATGATCCAAATATTCTGCTCATTTCCGGAACATGTATTTAATAATGAGCATCAGGAGATTAACATGCAAAGAGGAGTTGGTCAGAGAAAGTAGCTGAAAGGATGTGTTTTCAGGCAATCAGCTACAAAATATCAAAGACCTAGCGATTTAGTTGTAAATAGTTGCTTAGCCAGGCAGGGGGTACATGTCTGTCATTCCAGAACTCCGGGAGGCTGAGGCAGGAGGACTACATGTTCAAGCCCATCCTGGGAAAATTAGTGTCGTAGCAAAGCCGTATCACAAAATTAAAAAAAGAAAAAAAATTAACCAGGGGCTGGGGGACTGGGTATATAGCTCAGGGCAAAGGCCCTGGGTTCAATCCCCAGTCAGAGAAGTGTCAGGGGTGTCAGTGTCGGGAGCTGGCAACCCTCTAAGAACTGTTCCTTCTCTCCTCCCCAGTCAACTGCTTGGAAAGAGGAGATGAACCCAGCTTGGCATAGACGGAAGTCACTTGTAATTGTGCCATTAAAAGCCCAGTGAGCACAGGAGACCCAGAACTCCAGGGCAGAAGGCAGCATGTGGCTTCCTGGAATTTTTTAAAATGAGTATATGTTTGCAGTATGCAATGATTACATTCATCATGAGGATCTGGGATATATATATATATACATATATATATATATATATATATGGGGGTTAAAGCCAGGTCTCACACATGCTAGGCAAGTGCTTCAGCCACAGCCCTATTTTCCCCTTTTTGTTCTTTTATTTTATTTTATTTTATTTTTTGAGACATGGTCTCACTTTGTGGTTCAGGATGGCATTGAATTCACCATGTCAGCAAAGCTAGCCTCAAACTCATGGGGACACTCCTGTTTCAGCCTCCCAGGTGTTGATTATGTGTGTGTACCACCATGCTCGGCTATTGTTTTTAAACTCTTGAATAACATTCATGAGGCCCTGGGTTTCATCCCCCATACCACAGGCACATACACACATGCACACAATAGTAATAAGTAGGTACTGGTAGATCTCTCTCTTTTTTGGGGGGGTCGGTTACAGGTTACAAACTCATGACCTCAGTGGCATAGGTGCTTATGCCACTGAGCTAAACCTCCAGTCCCATAAATACTGGTAGAATAATTGGCTGGCTGGTCAGCTTACCAAGTGACTCATTAAATGAATGAATGAATGAATGAATGAATGAATGAATGAATGAGGGACTATGTTTAAAATTGTGTCTTTCTTTCTGGTCTTAAAGCAATATGGAATACCAAGTTTCATGTACTGAGTGCCCGCGTATCAACAGGAGCCTTCACCATCAAACAGAACTTTCCAAACAGAACTTTTCATGGCAACGCCACACTTCCTCCTCGGGGCCATCCCAGGCTTTACTGAACAATCCCTCTAGTGTGTTCCAGTTCTTGTCATCATAAATAACACCAAGCATTTTATTCTCCATTAGAAAAATTTCAAATACACAAAAGTGCAGAGAACAGTGCAATGATTTTATATTTAATTTGTTTGTTTCTTTGGTTTTTTTAGACAGAGTCTCACCATGTAGTTCAAGCTGGCCTAGAACTCACTGTGTAGCCCAGGCTGTCATTGAACTTGTAGCAATTCTCCTGCCTCAGCCTCCTGCATGCTGGGATTACAGGTGTGCATCAGGATACCTGCCTAGTAGGGTGATCTTACACACCTAAAAGCCCGTTATGAGAACACAGTAAATTCCTTAATAGCATCAAATATCTAGTTAGGGTTAAAAAATCCCCCTCAATGGTTTCACATACTTAGAAAACTCCATTTGAATTGGAGCCCAAATCAAGTGTACATTTCTCACACTGTGGAAGTGTTACTTCGTTTATATGATGTCTTTCCAGTTGATTCCTTAAGAACCTGGGGACAGTCAACTGTGGTGGCACACACTTGTAATCCCAGCACTTGGGAGGCTGAGGCAGTAAGACTGCTATGGGTCTCAACCCCTCTCCCCACAAAGAAAGAATGTGGGTTCTCACCTGTGAGAACGGTGTAGTGGCTGTCAGTTAGAATGCATGTAGAGTATCTATTTCCTTTCCTTGGGTGTCCTGAGTAGGTTGCTCTGCGTCTGTGTAAACTCACACTTTTTGCCTGATCACCCAACAGCATTTCTTCCCTTAAACTCAGCTGTTTGACAAGGATCCGTCTTGCTGTTAGCCTTTCTGGCTCAGGGTTTTCAGCTGTTGGATCCCCTTTCCAGCAGGACATTTCTGTGGCTAGAACAGTATAGTCCTATGAGCCCTCAGAACTTTCTGTATCAAAACCGTCAGGTAGAGTGGAAAGAAGAGGAGGAGATGGTCACCCCAACAGGTGACCACATAAATGGGGCAGAGCTGAGCAAGTAGGAGCCCTGGTGTCAGCTGCACTGAAAATACAACAGAATTGGGAATTTTAGAGTCATGGTCACCCAAGCTACATGGGAACAATGATTTCACTTCAGTATGAGTAATAAAGCCCAGTATGGTGGTGCACACCTGTAATCTCAGCACGTGGGAGGCTGAGGCAGGAGGATTGCTGTGAGTAGAGTATCTATTTTTGGGCTACAAAGACACTGTCTCAAAAAGCCATACAAACACAAAAAGATACAAACTATAAAACAACAGCATGCATAGAAGTGAGATGAAGAAATAAAAACTGTGAAACAAGATATCAGAATCAGGAAGGAACTAGAGGAGGAAAGATCAGCTCATGAGTATAAAATACTTAGCTGTGTGTTACAGGAACAGGAAGTGCTCAGCTAATTAAAACAGGATTACAGGCCAGTCCCCGGGCTAGCCGGCCTCTCCTGCAACCTCTGCATCGCCCTCTTCATCACTCTGAAGTTGCCCTGCATTTAACTAAATGCCACAGCTGGGGGACATGGGAATGCCATGACAACTGTCCTTGGATCTGGACACAGGCCTGGGCCTCGTCTGCCCATCAAGATTAGACAGACAGAGTCGGCATGGAGCATGTGGAGAAGTGAAGGCCCTGGGTCATCCACAGGAGACCAAGGACCCCATCCTGGGCACCAGGCTCATTCCTGCCCAGCCCACATGGCCAACCCCGTCCGTGGGATCCAGGGTCTTTCTCAGAGGTCCAAAGGAGGGACCATGGATCTGGCCCACTGGGGCCGAACCGAAAGATACCAGTGCTGAGCTTTTGGGTTCCCTGTTCGAAACTTCACAGCCCCGTTGCTGCCCGCTTTGAGACGAGGCTGGTGAGCAGCGAAGGGGCAGGCGTGCAGAGTGGCTGCAGGCGTGGTCCTGGAAACCTGCTGCATGAACATGGAGAGGCTGGAGGAAGAACACACTGGGCTCTCTCCCCAGGATGCAGCCTCCCTGGATCGCCTGGGTCCCTACAGGCAACAAGAGACCCTGCAGTGGGCCACAGTATGTTGCAGGCCTAGGGAGGCTCCAGGGAAGCCCAAGTCTCTTCCCAGCCACTCAAAACGAAGCCACATTTCTCATGGGGAGCAAAGCACCTGCTTCCGCCTCTCAGCAGCCTCAGCAGGAAGCAGGGCTCCTTCTCCTTCTGTGGAAACGGCCTGCAATGTTTGTGCACCCAAGCAGGCCTGGAAATCTGTAACAAGTACATGGCCTGAGGGTTTTCAGAAATAACCTTTTTCTAATGGAACCATTTATAAATGTTGTGGAAAATGGAAGAATGTAAAAAAAAAATTACAAACAAGCAAAGAAAAACACCTTTAAGTCTAGTACTCACAAAAAAATATCTATTGAACCTTTGAAATATGAATCTCTGGGGTGTGACAGTGCACAATTGCAATCCCAGCACTCAGGAGGCTGAGGCAGGAGGATCACTAAGTTCAAGAAGAAAAAATTAAATAAAATATGCACTTCTATGTATAGCTTTCCATAGAACTGCTGTGTATGAGCAGTGATCAACTCCCTTCATTAAGGAAATGCCAACAAACCCCTCCCTGTAGATCACAGCAGGGATTCTGGGTGGGAATTTGGAGAACAGCTTTCCCTCATCCTTGGACAGACCAGTAAGCCACCCCTCCACTCACCATCACCCCTGAGTTTCACTCTGTTTAACAGCAGTTCCACCTAGATGCTGGCTGGCGGAGGCCAGGAGGTAGATGCATAGGCAGGTGGCTCTGGCTGTCCCCACCACACCCTGTAGATAAGAACCTGGTCCCCTGGGTGGGGCATGGCTGAGTGCCAGGCCAGCTCCCACACACAGGGCTGAGGGGGAGGGGGGGGAAAAGCATGCACCAGGCATAGGGAAGCAACAGGCTGCCCCACAGCACCATCTGTCCCCTCATGGCTCTTGTAGGTGGGGAGGAAGATGGAGGACAGGGTGGGGAGGTGGGAAGCCACAGGGGTCCTGCAGCAGAGACAGAGGTGGCCCAGCCTTGGTTTCTGTTTGCTTCAGAATCAGAGCTCACACTATTGTGTCTGGGAATCTTTCTAGAGATCAGCGAGTGTGCTAGCCAGCCTTGTCAACACGGAGGGACATGCATAGAAGGAGTCAACCAGTTCAGATGCCTCTGTCCCCCAGGAAGGACTGGGGTCCGCTGCCAGCATCAGGGCCAGACTGGTATGGAACCCCTGTGGGGTTGGGGGAGGCTGTCCCACAGCAGGGAGGCGAGAACCCCAGTTGTGGGTCACCAAATACAGACATGGCAAGAGCTCAGCGTCCCTTGGGCCTGTGGGCTTTTCCTCTCTGCTTCCATCCACTGATCTCCCTAAAGTGGCTGCATGGCAGAACTTTGCTCTTCTGTGTTCCCAAAGTTCTGGTCCTCCTTATGGAAGAAAACATGAGTGGCAGGACTGACTCTCAACCTAGCAGCTTCCGGGTGAGGAATTTGGCCAAATTCTCAGAGAAGGTGCACTATGGCCACCTTTGCCTGAGCAGCATTTCATGTGCCAACAAGATCACATGACCCATAAATGTTTCCATCACCCCCAGAGCAATCAGCAGCAACTGATGCAGTCCCTAGCACTTTAACAGCTGGATAACCAGATATTTGATCAGTGAGTTTCTGCGTAGCCCCAGCTAGCAGTCTCAGATCCATAGTAGCTGGTTTTGCACATGGAGTAAAAATCCAATTAAGGAATCTACGGAGGATGCACAGAGTTTCCAAACTATACTGCAACCAAGACTTCTGTAAAAATGTCCAAGCCAGGTGTGGCAACACATTCCTTTGATCCCAGTACGCTGGTAGACTGAGACAAATTTGAGACCCAATCTGGAAAATTTAGCGAGACTCTGCTTCAAAAATTAAAATGGGCTGGGTGTGTAGCTCAGTGTGAAGGCCTTGGGTTAAATCCTCGGTACCTAAAAAAAAAAAAAAAAAAAAAAAAAGTCCAACTCAAAAGATGTCCTATGGGGAAGGAAACGCTGGTGCAAGCGCCACCTCGCCGGGGTTTCTAAGCCTTTTTAAATGAAATGCAAACTTTCCACCCTGGCGGGTCTTCTCCATGGGCACTTCCGTACACCGCGATCCTCTGGGGCCTCCATGTCCTGCGCCCCGCATTCGGTCTGTGGTTCGCTGTCTCTCCTCTCCCTGCTCCAGAGTCAGCTCTCTGAGCCTTGGTTGTGTCTGTCCTGGTCCTCCTCCGGGCGCCTCCCCAAGCAGGATCCTGTAGGTAGCCCAGGGCGCGAATTGAGCTTGTCTTCTTCCCGCAGCGGCCCCCGAGGTCGGCGTGGCTAGCGACTCCGCCTTCAGCCGCGCGCCCCGCTGCGCACAGGTGGAGCGGGCGCAGCACTGCAGCTGTGAAGCCGGATTCCACCTGAGCGGCGCCGCGGCTGGCGACGGCGTGTGCCAGGGTAGGCGGGGCCCCGGGGTTGTGGGCGGGGATCAACCAGGGCAGGGGCGGGATACGGGGCGTGTCTCGTAAAGGCCCCGCCCACTGGGACCTACTGGGCGTTCCAAATCAGAAAGCCCAGGTGCCTGGAAGCCCTTAGAAAACGCAGCTCCAGGAGTCTGAGGTTCGCCTCAGCCGCACCCTTGGGTGCCCAAGAGCCCCGACCCCTGTCTTCCAACCCTGTCCTGGCAGGTGACGGGGCGTGGGTCGCCAACAGGTAGACCCGGCCTGGAGCTGTGCAGAGGCTCGTTGCCCGGGGTCGTCGCCCGGCTCCGCTCCCCTGACCAGCCCACCTCTGCCAGCCTCTCCTGATGACCAGAGTTCCCCCCCAAACCCGAAGTGCAAACCTGAGATTTGGTCGATTGATGCCAACAGGCTCGTTTCACAGCGGCAGAAATGAGACCCTCCTCCTCCATGCCCAAGGATGGGGGGACCCGGGATGGGACTGCGGACCCCGCTCCTCTCAGGGACATAGGCCCGATTCGCCCCCTCTGCGGAGTCTCCCCAGATAGATGAGGTGCCCCTCCGGGTCCCGGCGGGAGGGAAAGGGGCGTCCTCGGGTCCTCTTCCGGGCCCAGCCTCCAGGGACGGCAGCTGCTCCAAGGACTGCACCTCTAGCTGCTGCAGGCAGCTCCAGGGACGGCACGTCGGCCCGGAGTCACTGCGGCCGCTTCCTTCCCCAGACGTGAACGAGTGCGAGCTGTACGCGCAGGAAGGGCGCCCCCGGCTCTGCATGCACGCGTGCGTGAACACCCCCGGCTCCTACCGTTGCTCCTGCCCCAGCGGGTACCAAACTCTGGCGGACGGGAAGAGCTGCGAGGGTGAGTGAGACGGCGGCAGAGGCAGGTGGCCGCAGGGCACCTCCACACCCGGTCATCTGCGCTGCTGTCGCCTGTCACGCTCTAAAGCCCCTGCTTTAAGAACAAGCCTGTGGAGCACCGCATTCTCCTACCTGGCCTGGCCGGCTGGCCCGTGGTGTGATGATGGCCGGCCAGCTGGGCTTTCACCTCCTCCTGTGTGTTTCAGATGTAGATGAGTGTGCTGGGACGCAGCACGTGTGCCCCCGGGAGACCACGTGCATCAACACCGGGGGTGGCTTCCAGTGCGTCAGCCCCGAGTGCCCCGAGGGCAACGACAACGTGAGCTACGTGAAGACCTCGCCCTTGTGAGTACAGCAGGGCTGCCCTGGCCCAGGCCCCTGTGCGGCTGGACGGGGGGTCTCCCCGGGGCCTCCTCGGGAAGACAAGAGGCCAGGCGCTGGGCATCCAGCTTCTCCAAGCTTCCATTTCCCATGAGTGCATTTAATGCATTGCTGGCTGGGCTGGTGCAGTAAGAACCCAGCGCAGCCCAGGGAGAGTGATGTACCAACTGCTCCCCTGCCACAAGAGGAAGAGGGTGGCACCCCTGGTGGCACAAGCACAGACTGCAGTGAAAGTGTGTAACACTGTGTGTTACATCCCTCTGCTTTTCCAGTGGTGCTAGAAAGTCTGGTGACGCCAGCACCTAGTAAATAGCCATTTTAGAGGTTGAGAGATGGACTTTTTAAAAAGGGGAATAACTCACATAAAGCCCATTACTCACTTCTCAAAAAGAGATCCTAACACCCTGGAAATATCTTTAAAATGAAGAGAATTGACTTCATTAAAAAAGTAGTCATTTAAATTGTTATTAGGATTAAGACAGATTAAAAGCAGCGAGAAAGTCAGGTATCAAACAGTAGCAGTTGTTAGAGACACTGAAGATTCTGGAACCTTCCTCAAGGAGTCGCTTAATGAAAGGACAAGGAACTCAGCTGTAGTAGACTCTGAGGACATTAGACTAGCAGCCAGATGTGATATTGGACCTGCACAATGGTGAGCACGCAGAATCACCAAGTAGGCTAAATTACAGTGCTTGCCTTTTATCTTTAAGGAGGCAGGCAAACATCAGAGCTGTTTGCACAAGACCCTAAATCTGGATGGTTAAGGAAGATAGGGCTTCCTGCTTTTGGATGAATGGTGTTGGGTTTGGACAGTACACCGCCAGGGAGGCTGCACTGCAGGATGTTGGCAGCTGGCTGCTAGAGCGCGGTCTCAGCACCTGCAGAAAGGCAAATGCCAGCAGTGCTTGTAGCTTGTTATTACTTAATCTTCCCAGGCTTTAACTCTGTAAGAACTGTAGTAATAAGACACATATGCATGTACATATGCATGTACACACACACACACGTGGATTGGGAAGGCCCCCAGGACCATTTATTGCCTGCAGCTCAGAAGCTCTGGGGTTAAGAACCATGGCGGGGGAGGCTCACTCAGGTGTTCACTGCAAGAGGGGAGGGTTCCCCAAATCTGACAGCTTCCCTTTTGCCTCTGCTCTAGCCAGTGTGAGCGAAACCCCTGCCCCATGGACAGCAGAGCCTGCCGCAGTATGCCCAAGACCATCTCCTTCCATTACCTCTCTCTTCCCTCCAACCTGAAGACACCCATCACGCTCTTCCGCATGGCCACAGCCTCAGCCCCCAGCCGATCCGGGCCCAACAGCCTGCGGTTTGGGATCGTGGGTGGGAACAGCCGCGGCTACTTCGTGATGCAGCGTTCCGACCGGCAGACAGGGGAGCTGATCCTCGTCCAGACCCTGGAGGGGCCTCAGACGCTGGAGGTGGACGTGGACATGTCGGAATACCTGGACCGCTCTTTTCAGGCTAACCACGTGTCCAAGGTCACCATCTTTGTGTCCCCATATGACTTCTAAGAGTGCCATGGGGAGCACAAGGGTGCAGAGATCTGGGCTGATTTCTCTTCCCCCAAGGACTCAGGTGGGGACACAGACTGCGACAGACATCTATCTCCTCTGCCTGGTCCTTGCCCACATCCCTGCTTTGCCCAGGTTTCTAGGGTAGCACCACACTGTCCCACAGGGTGACATGGAAATCCAAGCTTCCGCCATCATGGTTGTATGAGTTTGCCCTAGCTGGGGGGCAGACCTGGGGATGTGAGCCTGACACAGTGACGGCCATTCCGCACTGTTACAGCCAAGACTCATCAGGAACACAATGCTTGCCACTATGCTGGGGGTCCAGCCAGGCCCCTGTGTGCTTAGGAAGCAGGCAGAGTTTCCTCCCACGCTGGGCACGTGGTTCCTGTCCATGCTCCCTCTGCGACACACCTGCCAGCCTTCTGAATGGAGAGTCTGGGAGGGCCAATTACCCACACACATCCTTCAGATGAAGGAACTGATGTGAAAGCATGGTTTCGGCCCAAATGACTTCCCTTTAGGGAAACTGTATCTCAAGAACATAACCTAAGGTCTGGGGATTTAGCTCAACGGCATAAGCACCTGCCTTGCAAGCAGGCAGTCGTGAGTTCGACCCTCAGTACCGATTTAAAAAAAAAAAAAGAAGAAGAACATAACCTGGTACCATAAGTGAAGAAATAAACTCAGTAGCGCCTCCCTGTCCTTCTGACTTCTTGAGCACGACAGCCCAGTTCCTCCTGTCTGGGATGGATGGGCTGGAATAAATGAGCAGGAGAACCCAAAGGCATTGTTTAAGATTGTCTGAATTTGTCTTGGCCACTTGGGGGATTGGTAAGGACATCCAGCCATGGAGAGTTTAGGAAAACAGTCAAATTACCATCAAGTCCACAGCCACCTTCTTCTGCTGGGAGAAGCCAGAGGTGACGCCTTCCAGGCGACTGAAAGAGGAAAATTCTGGCCAGGGCTGAGATGGGATGGAGAGAGGGACGCTCGAGCTAAAACTCCACAGCTGGCTTACTGGTGAGGGAAGCTTAATACTCAAATGCGTGTTAGTCTACCAGGGAGACTTCTTCACGTATTTTATTTTAAAATGCTTCCCATTTGCCCTGGTGGGAAGTAGAGGCAAGGACATGAGCTGCCAGCTGAGTGGTCAAACCCCAGACAAAGGTTGCTTCCAGGATGCTTTATCTGGTTTTGTGGGAGGAAGGACACACAGTCAACAGTGTGTCCTTTTGAAATTTTCTTCTCTTCCCCTGGGCTCAGCTGGAACCTAACAAGAGAACAAAGATCTTCGAACTTGCTCTTTCTGGGTTGCTACAAGACTTATTAAAATATTATCTTATTCTTATGTCTGGTGAGTGAAAGCCTGCCTGCCACTGGTCCATTGTGCATTCTGCCACCTGGGAGAGCCGAAGGGCTTGGCCACATGTCCCAGAGTGAGATGTCACAATGATGGACCTTTCCTGCTTGGGAAAGGGGTGGTTGAGAGGGACAAATTTTTACTTCCTAGCATGAGCAGATGCCCTACCTGAATTGGAATGTGATAACTTGGATGCCAAACGGGCCCAATCTAAGACAACTTTCATCACCAAGATCTGCTATCATCAAACCTGCTCCCAGTTTGTGAAATCACACACTGAGTCCCAGCCCCCATAATACCAAAATAAGAATGCTTGACTGTCTAGCAGAGACCTCCTCTGGGTAATGTTTTGTAATGTATACTTCTGTTAGTTGTCTGTTACTGTAACAAAATATCTGAGATGATCAACTTATAAAGAGAAAAGGTTTATACTGGCTTCCAGCTTTGCAAGGTTGCAATTCATAATCCATTGGCTCCCCTGCTTTGGGTCTTAGCAATATACTACATTGTGGCTGCAGTGTGTGTCAGAGCAAAACCTATTTACCTCATGGCTAGGGACTAAGAGATACAAAGATACCCCAGGGTCTCGCAGTCCCCTTTGAGGACCAACCCCCAGTGACCTAAGACCTTCTGATTAGGTCCCACCTCTTAAAATTCCCATCACCTCCCAACAGTGCCAAGCTGGAGACCACAGCTTCTACCTTGAGCCTTTGGGGAACATTCAGATCCACCTTGTGTCAGTACTGTCTCTCTCACCTTTTCCTAAGGAAACTAACATGTTTTCCCCTCACAACTCTCATACATGTTGGGTCAGTGTGGCTAGTCACCAACAGGGATTGATTTATACCTCTTTCATATTGTTGGGAGCCTTTAAGACACTTCATTATGGCCATCTTGCGTCCCCGCGTGTGTGCGTCTAATCTCAGCTGGTCTTCCAGAGACCCCCTGAGCGCCAATCCTAGTCCCCCGTGCTGCCCCATATCCGCTCCGACAAGATGAAAGAAACGATCATGAACCAAGAAAAACTCGCCAAACTGCAGGCACAAGTGCGCATTGGTGGGAAAGGAACTGCCCGCAGAAAGAAGAAGGTGGTTCATAGAACAGCCACAGCAGATGATAAAAAACTTCAGTTCTCATTAAAGAAATTAGGGGTAAACAATATCTCTGGTATTGAAGAGGTGAATATGTTTACAAACCAAGGAACAGTTATCCACTTCAACAACCCAAAAGTTCAGGCATCTCTGGCAGCAAACACTTTCACCATTACAGGCCATGCTGAGACGAAACAGCTGACAGAAATGCTACCCAGCATCTTGAACCAGCTTGGTGCAGACAGTCTCACTAGTTTAAGGAGACTGGCTGAAGCTCTGCCCAAACAATCTGTGGATGGAAAAGCACCACTTGCTACTGGAGAGGATGATGATGATGAAGTTCCAGATCTTGTGGAGAATTTTGATGAGGCTTCTAAGAATGAGGCAAACTGATCTGAGTCAGCTTCTGAAAAAGATAACGTCTTGGAAGACGTTACTGGGAGCTGCTATTTTATATTATGACTGCTTTTAAAAATTGTTTTTGTTTATGGATCTGATAAAATCTAGATCTCTAATATTTTTTAAGCCCAAGCCCCTTGGACACTGCAGCTCTTTTCAGTTTTTGCTTACATACAATTTATTCTTTGCAGCCAGTTAAGCTGAAGAAGCCTGGGAATAAAGTTTGAAACAGATTAATAAAAAAAAAAAAAAAAGACACTTCATTATATACAGTTACAGATATGCACCAAAGTAGAGAGATCCTATAATGAGCCCCATGCACGAGTCACCAGCCTCACCAATAACATGTGAGCAATCTTCTTTTGTCTACTCTCAGATCACTTGCTGATGAGATTGAAGTAGATCCAGGACCCTCTATCATGTCATGTGTGGATGTCTTAGCATGTGTCTCTATAAATGATGAGGACTTTTTGTAAAAGCGCAACCTCAGTAACATTCACACCCAAAACAAACAACACAAAATGATTCCTTAATATTTTCAAGTATTTAACCATTGTTCAGATTTCCAAGCTCCAGGTGTGGTGGTGCATGCCTGTAATCCCAGAACTTGAGAGGCTGAGGCAGGTGGATCGCTGTGAGTTTGAGGCCAGCCTGGGCTACCTCATGAGTTCAACAGCAGCCTGAACTGTAAGCAAGACCCTGTCTCAAAAAAAGAAAAACATTCCCTGAGTGGCTCGATATTTTTTTGTTTGTTTGAACTTTGCCCATGAATGTAATTCGCTGATGGGCCTTCCAAGTCCCCTTGATCTATAGCAGTGGTTGTCACACACTGTATACTGGACTAACCTGGAGGCTTATCAGAGATAGGATATAGGGTGGTTTATACCAGAAAAATTCTCACAGTCTAAATATTTCTGAGTGCATCTCTGGTATACCATGTTCCTCTGTCTTCTCTTTCTTATAAATCAGTAGTTATAGCAGAGATTTAACCAGGTTCCAGTTAGCTTTCTTTGGGCAATGCCACCTTATTGGTGGTGACACATCCCCTCCAGTGGGAGGCAAACAATATCTGGTTGTCTCTCTTTTCTGGTATTATCAACCCCTGATAATTATCGTATAGAACCATTACTTCTTTAGGGGTCATGATTAACATTAAAGCTGCTGGGTTTTTGCTTTATTTAGTGACTGATACTCTTTATAAAAAGAAGTATCAATTATTTGGCTACCCTGAGATTTTATTTGTTTTTTTGTTTTTTGGGGTTTTTTTTTTTTTTTTTTGGTACCAGGGATTGAACTCATGACCTTGTGCTTGCCAGGCAGGCACTTAAGCCACTGAGCTAAATCCCCAGCCCTGAGACTTTATTTGTATAAGAAATATAAGTGAATGTTTTCTCTGCTTCCCTTTATTTTTGTTTTGAGACTGAGGTGTTTTTGGCATCTGTGTTTCCAAGGTGACCAGAGAGATACTCTCCTCTTGGAGTACGTCCTGGGCTCAGGGTTGAAGCACACTGGTTGTGTGTCTTGAGCCGCGGCAGTTGTCCCTGTCATTGCTGTCTTTGACTCCTGAAAGCTACTTCAAGTTGGCTCATTCCTTTGGAAATGACTCTATTAGTCTTGCTAGTTTGCTAGTTATTTTGTCTGACAAGATATTTCAACTACATCTTGAGAATTTTCTGTCCAGCCCCTTAAATCAGTCATTTCTTCCCAAGAATCTCTGGTTCCTTCTAGTAGGGAAAATAGGAAATGGTAATCATTGATTAAGATATCCTCGGGAGTGGTGGCACATGCCTGTAATCCTAGTATTTGGGAGGCTGAGGCAAGAGGATCATCATGAGTTCAAAGCCAACTTGGGCTACATAGTGAAACCCTGACTCAAAAAAAAAAATCTCTATACCAGGTGCTCACTGGGAGTGGTTAGGTCATTGTTTCATGCCTTTAATGGATAGAACAAGCAAATATATTTATATCTATTAAAAAGATAAAAACATTACATGACTTTGCTGATTCTTCCAATTCGTTTCATAACTATAGTTTTGGTCATTTTGATTTTCACCATAACTCCATTGAGCTATGTTTGTCTTTCTGTTTCTCATCTGAAAATCCTCTCAATGTTAGCAAAATAATCACACATTTTCTTTTTTAAATTTATTTTAAAGGGAATAAAACAAAACAATAAAATGCAACAAAACAAAACAATGAGAACAATGTTGAATTTCAAAAACAAGACATAAGCAAATCCCCAAAAGCTGCTATATTACACATTTAAATAGATGCTCAGACTACTGGGTTTAGGCCTGAAAAGTCAATCAAACAATACAAACATGAAGTTGTTTTTCATTTCGGTAGCTATCATCTCAGCCTGTGTTCCTCCAAATCAGCCCATTGCTTACCCGTGGATGGTTGAGGGGTTTGGCTCTTCTTGTCTCCCAGCCTGCACACCGAGTGGCCCACAGGAGAGGACTAACTTCTTGGTTCTCCTCCCAGCCACGATGGCTGCTGGCTCACAGGAAGGGGTTGGCTTCTTCTACACATTTCCAAAATCCTTCAAATAACAATGCAAACAAACAACAAAAAACCTAAAGATCAGTTTTTTCTCCCAGTGCTTTTTCCAGTACTGAGGATTGAACCCGGGGTCTTCCAGCTGAGCTATATTCCTAGGCCTTTTTTATTTTTACTTTCAGACAAGGTCTTGCTAAAGTGCTGGATTGCCCAAACTGAGCTTGAACTTGCAATCGGCCTGCCTCAGCCTCCAGAGTGGAGGGATCACAGGCCTGTAACACTACTTTGGCAGTTTATGTAATTCCTTCTGTCCTCAAGTTTGTGCCATTAGGAATTCCCAGCTGACTTGCTCTTTTACAATCACATGGAATAGTTCCTCTCTCTGTGATCATTCCTCATGCTGTGATCAGGACAGCGTCACTTCATTTTGCTAAGATTTTGAAAATTCATTATAATTTTAACTTTGTTGTATAACTAAGTAAACTATTTACATAGTTCCCAAGTCAAATCCACAAAACAAGATTTATTTAGAGAAATCTGTCTCTTGGCTCAGTCCCTTCTACTCTATTTCTGCCTGAACAAGTAATTTTTCTCCTTTTACTCTTACACTAAAAAATATAAGCATGATAAATAACAGCATCTGGCCCTCCTAGTCCTTGACCCTGACTTTTCTGGGTTGGGGCTGCAACGCTCCCTTTTCACAGCGGCCTCCCCCTCCAGTCTCTCTGAGTTACCTTACCTGGTTCTTTTTTCTTTAAAAGCACTTTTTACTGCCTGGGATCATCACACACAAATCTCCTCCCATATCCTGGCCCCAGTGGCTGCCCTTCTGGTATTCATTTCTGTTTTCCACTTCTGAAAGACCAGCAGCCCTCCGTGTACCAGGCTGAGCTGTGCATTTTCTCACACAGTCCCACACATGCCAGCGGTTTCCTCCATGGAAGTCTGACCCCAGGACCTCAGAACGTGGCTGTAGGTGGAGCGGGCTCTTTAAAGAAGTAATGAAGTTAAAACGAGGTCACTCACATGGACCCTAACATTGGTATAGCTGGCATCCCTATAAAAAGAGATTATGGGCTGGGGATTTAGCTTAGCAGTACAAGTGCCTTCCTGGCAAGCTCCAGGTCTTGAGTTTGGTCCCTGGTACAAAAAAAAAAAAAAGCAAGAAAAAAAGAGAACCTTAACAGGGGTAAGGATTTAGCTCAGCAGCATAAGCGCCTGCCTGGCAAGCACAAAGTCCCGAGTTTGAACCCAGGTACCAAAAAAAGAAGAAGAGATTACAATCACATAGCCAGAGAAGATCACATAAAGTCACAGAGAAAAGAAGACAACCACCTTCAAGCCAAGGAGAGGCCTCAGAAGAAACCAGCCTTGTCGAGACCTTGACCTCAGACTTTTAGGCCATAGAACTGTGAGAGAATAAATTCCTATTATTTATACCACCAGGTACATGGTATTTTGTTACAGCAACTGTTGCTAACTAATACACTCCTCATTCCAACCTGTGCTCTAGTAGGAGGTGACAGTGTTCCTCCCAGCCTCCAGAGTCCATGGGAGAGATGTGATGGCTGTCGGTCCAGAGATTGTTGCAGGAAAGACCAACAGAAGAGCTATCTTCTTACACCATTGGCACAGTCTTTCTTTCCCTCTAACAAGAGAAAACACTGTACGTTGCCCCAGCTGCTGATGGAAATCATTGTTTGGACTGTGAGGGAAGCTATAGCAGAAGCCTCCTGGTAAAATGCAGGACCAAGGCAAATGGAGATGCGTTCCTGATGAAATATGCCTGGAATCTTCCCACCCTAGACTTCCTGTTATATGAGATAACACAGTTGTGATTTAAGTGGGTTTCGGATGGAGTTCTTGTCTGCGGCCAAAAGCATTCCTGCAGATGTAGCTGTCAGAATCCCAGCTCCACCAGAGCAGGCACCTTGTCTGCAGGCTTGGGTTAGGACTGAATTGCATCCCCACCCAGACACGTTCAAGTCCTAACATATCTGTGTACCTATGAATCTGACCTTATTTGGAAATAGGGTCTTTGCAGATGTAACCAGTTAACATGAGGTCATGCCAGATGCGGGTGGGCCCTCAGTGCAGTCACTGGAGTCCTTAAGAGGAAACAGAGCCTCAGTCCTAGCGAAGAGGCAGAGATCGGAATTATGTTTGCACAGTCAAGGAACACTCAGGACTGCTCGCAACCACCAGGAACTAGGGGAATGGGAGAAGGATATTTTCTTTTTTTTTTTTTTTTTATGACATCCCATTTATCTAAGAGAAGGATATTTTCCTAGAGCCCGCAGAGGGAGCCCCCGATGACACTGATCTCAGACCTCCAGCCTCCAGGGCTATCCGAGAATGCATTTCTGTTGTTTTAAAGCCCCCAGACTGGTACTTTGTGATGCTAGGACATGAACACACCTGGGGTCACGCAAACCTTCCTTCCAGTGTCACCTGAAGGCCAATCGCCTGACCTCCTGGGGCAGGGTTCTCTCCACCCTGGGGAACGCAGACAGCTACCAGGCACCAAGCAGACACATACTTTTCTCCAGGAGCTCCCTTCCCACGACACCATAGTAAGAGCAAAAACTGAACCCATTTCCTTGGAAAGCAGGGACGAGATAAGTGTATCCACCCTCACTGTTACTGTTCAGTGTAGTACTGGAAACTTTACTTAGAGCAATCAGGCAAGAAAAAGAAGTAAACATGACTCAGATATTAAAGGAGGTCCCTAAATGAGGAGCTGCATATAGCACATACATTAC